GCGATCCTTCCGCCTTAGCCTTCCAAGTAGCTGGAATTACAGGCACGCGCTACCACGCCCTGCTGATTTTTTGATTTATTGTAGAGATGAGGTTTCACCAGTTGCCCAGGCGGGTCTCCAACCCGCAGGCTCAGGCAGTTCACTCACCTTGGCCTCCCAAGGTGCAGGATTACATGCTGAGCCACCGAGCCTGGCGAGAGTTGACTGCATTCTTAACAGGATCTTTCTGCTATTATTTCTAATCCAGGTACAGGTAAGAGTTCTGTATTAGTAATGCAGTGTTTATCCCAAAAGTTAGAAAAGAAATTAGGCATTGCCTGCAAATGATACATCTTTTTCTCTAGGTGACCCCTAAGCAAATCAATGGACAAATAATTCTGATTATTCTTGCTGGAATAGAGGAGATACGGTTTGATCTCGTGTTCTTTTAAGTGTTAGTTACTTTTTCTTGCTAGGCCTATATTCTACCAAGAATTCTATATGGGCCCACTGTGTAAAAGCTAGCTAAACTAATAGGACATACTTGTCTGTTGGTGTCTATGCTTTGATCTCTCTGATCAGATAGATTTTGATGTGGAGGTTTGTATGTATGTGTGTGAAGGTTTTTCTTGAATCTTGTTTTTATTAACTAATAGTGCTATTGGTAGCATGTATTATACTGTAAAACTTGCCAGTAAAATTTATTCTGCCAGTTTTCAGACTCAGAAAGCCAGATGACATCATGGTAGATCTCATGTTAGTTTTAGTAGTACCGTATTCATAATAATTTGTTCTACTTTTTCATAGGTATCTTGTGGCACATATGATGTAGTTCCATCCCTCACTGTTAGAAAGGTAGGGTGGTTAGTAGAAAAGGAACTAGACATTTCAGTTATACTTGCAAAATGAGTTCATTTTACCATGTTTATTGAGAATCTACTCTTTGCAGGATACTGTGATGTATATAAATACTTATGTGTTATATTGTTTAGAGGCTAAGATAAGATGAATATATAGGTAACTATTATATGGTAATGTGTAAAACCTGTCAAAAGGTACGGTGGACTCCTCATATCCTTGACTTCAGTTTCCTCATATAAAATAAGGCTGATTATAAGGTTTTTTAAAAGTTAAGACAAGGTGTGTGAAAATGCTTTGAAAGGTGTAAGGCATTATGCAAGTATAAAGAGGTATACTTCTTATAAGTGGGGTACATCACTTTATAGGAGACAAATGCAGGCTAGTCTTTGGCATACTTACCCCTTCTTTGAGCATAATAGATCTGTATCACAAGAATAAATCATAATAATACCAGGTAACCTCTGTTGAGTAGAGCTTATTACATATTAGGAATAATTCTAAGGGATTTACTTATGCTGTTTAATCCACACAACTACCCTATGAGGTAGATACTCTTATTATTGACAGCTTACAGTTGAAGAAACTGAGGTATAGAGATGACTATAACTCTAAACCAAACAGCAAGTAAATGGCAGAGTCCTGATTTAAACTGATATATTCCAGAGTGCCACAATGTTCTACCAATTCTTTTTTTTTTTTTTTTTTTGAGTTGGAGTCTCACTCTGTCACCCAGACTGGAGTGCAGTGGCCGCTCCTGGCCACCGCAGCCTCGACCTGCTGGGCTCCGGCCATCCTTCCGCCTCAGCCTTCCGAGTAGCCGGAATTACAGGCGCGCGCTACTAATGCCTGGCTACTTTTTTGATTTATTGTAGAGATGAGGTCTCGCCTGCCCAGGCGGTCCTTGAACCTATGGGCTCAGGCAATCCACTCACCTCAGCCTCAGCCTCCCAAAGGCGCGGGATTACAGGCTGAGCCACCGAGCCCGGCTCTACCAATTCTTCTTATTACTGTTTAAGAGAGAGAGGTGATTTAGCAAGGTGAACAATATTATGTGGTATTCTCCAAACAGGCAAAAGTACTCTTTGGTACCGACAATCCAGGAAAAAAAGCCAAACTCAGCTTAAATTTTTGTTCTGAGTGTTAAATTCTGCATTCTTTTTCCTAGTCTTAAATTAAACTGGGTCAGAATGCAGTAGGCTATATAATATGAACTAAATAAAGTATGCAATTGAAGCTACATTTGCTCAGTGGTATGTTGGTAAATGTTGAACAGCTGACTGTTGAGGAAGACTGACTTATGACGTTTTCCCCTTTACATGGTGTGAAATACTCCCATCACTACCAATTACAAGCTACTGATTGCAACATTCCTAGAAATTTTATAATGGGCTTCCTTGAGTCAGTAGGAATTGGCTTC